TTCTACCCTCCTTCAGTCATTATATTACAGCTTCATTTGCTTACCTCAAAATCACTTTACTGTCAGTGCACTGATAATGTTACTTAGTTTGGATAATGAAATGTCTGCAAGGAAACAAGCTCAAAGAACACCAAGGACCCTTCAAATATTCTTCTTTATTGGTACTTTATTATCCATTGACAGAAACTGACCACTGGACCGGTAGCTGCATTACTTCAATTTTTGTGAGGCTACTTTAAGGGATCACAGGTCATGTCACTCAAAAGAAATAAAGAGCTACAAACTTCAAGAACAGCTGGGGAAGGGAGCAATCATTGTCCTCCATCATCTGCTCCCCCCAATAACTCTCCATAAAATCATAAGAGTTGTTTCTCTTGGCACTCTGCTGTATACCTTCTGATTTTCAAATAGATGGGAAAGAAATGGAGGTAGTGAAATTTTTATCTTCCTGAGCTCTAAGATCACCACATATGAGGACTGCAGCCAAGAAATTAAAAGACGCTTGCTCCTGGGGAGGAAAGCTATGGCAAATCTAGACAGCATACTAAAAAGCAGAGACATCACCCTGCCAACAAAAGTACGTACAGTCAAGGCCATGGTTTTCCCAGTTGCAATGTATGGTTGTGAAAGTTGGACCATAAGAAAGGCTGAGCGCAAAAGAATTGGGGCCTTTGAACTCTGGTGCTGGAGAAGACTCCTGCGAGTCCCCTGGACTGCAAGGCGATCAAACCGGTCAGTCCTAGAAGAGATCAACCCTGACTGCTCTTTAGAAGGCCAGATCCTGAAGTTGAAACTCAAGTACTTTGGCCCCCTAATGAGAAGGGAAGGACTCACTGGAGAAGAGCCTAATGCTGGGAAAGATGGAGGGCAAGAGAAGAAGGGGACGACAGAGAATGAGGTGGCTGGATGGAGTCACTGAAGCAGGAGGCGTGAGCTTAAATGGACTCCAGAAGATGGTAGAGGACAGGAAGGCCTGGAGGAACGTTGTCCATGGGGTCGCGATGGGTCCGACACAACTTCGCAACTAACAACAAAGTTTTACGCACCACCAGATGTGTTGCTGTAACAGCTGCCAGTGATAACTTCCTTGCCTTGGTGCACTGCTAGGAACCCTGGAACTCTGACAGTCCTTTGGAATGTTTATGCCTGAGCATCACCTGGAGCCTTTGTGATGCTTTTGTCTTCTCCTAGTTAGAATAATCTCAGATTGGTTTGATGCTGAATGCTAGAATAGCTTCCCAGTGCTCACTTTGCTGCTCCCAAATAATAATAATAATAATAATAATAATAATAATAATAATAATAATAATAATAATAATAATAACAACAACAATAATAATAATAATATACTCCAAATGCATTTCCTGAGTTGCAATCAGCATCGCCCTCATCTGTTTACATGGTTCTCAATGCTGCACAGAGCAATGTGTGGCAGCAGCCCCCAAAAGTTAATACAATCCATGCTTGTATAAACAGAGGTATAGAATCAAAGTCATGTGAATTATTAGTATCGCTTTATAAATCCTCAGTNAATAATAATAATAATATACTCCAAATGCATTTCCTGAGTTGCAATCAGCATCGCCCTCATCTGTTTACATGGTTCTCAATGCT